GTGTATTTGTGGCTTTTCTAGTCTGATTGGGACATTTAAGTGTGGGGCTCACAGTTCCTCAGGGCAGAGATTTTATGGGCCCTTCCCCCTGCCTGTGCTAAATTTAATAATAATACAGGCCAGTGTCATTTGGCTTGCTGGTTAAAGGAAGACAATGGGCCCTGGAATCTGTAAAGGTGGGCGGGAATGAAGCTGGTCAAATGTACTGAAAGGGTTTGGTACCTGTTGCTGCTAGTAGAGGAGGAGCTGATATCCCCTTCCAGTGCACTCTCTTGGGAGAGACCTAATTACTGCTCTGTCACAGGGGACAGGTATGATGGCAGGGGCCTGGTACCCAACCCATTGCCACAGGAGTGCTTTGTAACATACAGGGCATCTTTCCCCTCTCCAGCTAAGGGCTGCTGGCCCCCACCATGCTGCCATTGCTGGATGGAGGCAAGCGCTTTTTCCAGTGGGAACAGAGAGAAAAAGACTGCAAGATGAAAATGCTTTCCTCCCAGGCTCCCCCTGTGGAGGGAGCACCTCCACTGGTCACCTGGGGACCTGCACCAAGCTCCCTGCTTCCACCTATCAGACTCCCATCTCCTGTGCCGTGCCATCTGCTCACCAGAGTTGTAATTGCCTCTCGTCCCCTGAGGGGTTATTTTGAGTAAGCGTGAGGAGGGAAATTTCCCTGTGCCTCCTTGTATCTCCCTGCACCCCAATGAGACCCAAGAACCCCCAGGGACAAGGCCTCCTTGGACACTTTTCACCATGTTCTGTTGGGGGTTTGGGTGGAGGCTGCTTAAAAGGCAGTAGAAGAAATGAATTGGTCACAGCTGGTAGAGGTAGCCCAGAAAGTCTTTAACAATAGAGACACCCTGGAAGAGAAGCAGGACAAGAGAATGACTAAGGCAGTGGTAGCTGCATCAAGAGACAAGGAGAACAAGACAAAAGGAGAAGGGGAATGGAAAAAGGAAAGAAAAGGCCGGCAACAAACTAGGAAGGAATTAGTATGCCTATTGTAGGAAGTAGGGGCACTGGAAGAGAGAATATCCTGGTAGGTTAACAAAGGAAAGCGGAAGGCTGAAGGGAAAATGCAGGCTCTGGAGGATTTTCACTCAGGGAAGGGAACTAATAGGGCTGAGACTCCTTTGCCTTGAACCCCTTAAGAGCCCAGAATAATAATTTTTTAGTTTCCTGGTGTATTCTGGAGCAGCCTATTCAGTGTTGACAGAGCCAATGGGACCTGTAACATCTAAGAAGACATCAGTCCAGGGAGCCACCGGACAAACTGCCTTTTTCCTTGGACATCGAAGAGGACTGTGGACATTGGAAAGAACACGGTAACACATTCATTTCTGGTCATGCCAGTTTTCCCATACCCCTTTCTTGGATGTGATCTCTTACAGAAACTACAAGCCACCATATCCTTTGAGGGGGACGGAGCAAACTTCACTGTGGATCCAAGGAACCCAGGCCTGGACCCATTCTCCCCTGGCTGCATTCTTCTAACCTGTCATCTCTCAGATGAATATCTCTTGCAGGAAAGGGCCAATGTGACTCTGCTTACTTGGGGAAATTACGTCTCTTTCCCATGGTTTGGGCAGAAAACAACACCCCCGGGGTTAGCAAGTCACTGCCACTCCAGCTCAGGTTCAGGAATTCTTAGGGGCAGTTGGATACTGTCGCCTATGGATACTGGCGTTTGCGGAGATTGCTAAAATGGACCGAAGTAGAACAATGGGCCTTTGAGAAGCTAAGGAAGGCTCTAGTCTCAGCACCTGCCCTAGCCTTGCCAGACATCAGGAAGCCCTTCCACCTCTATGGGAGTGAGGTAAGGAGCATTGCCAAAGGGGTTCTCACCCAACCTCTAGGTCCCTGGAAGAGACCTGTGGCCTATCTGTCTAAGAGACTAGACCCCGTGGCTGCAGGGGGGCCAGCGTGCCTCTGGGCAGTGGCCACCACAGCATTGCTGATAAAGGAGGCAGATAAGCTGACTTTGGGCCAGGAACTAGCCCTGACAACACCCCATGCTGTGGAAGCCCTCCTTTGAGGTGCTCCGGAGAGATGGATTTCAAACACCAGGGTCACCCAGTACCAAGCTGCCAAGGAAGCCGCCCAAAAACCAGTGGGGCCTTTACAAGAGGAGGAATTGGCAGAACAGAAGCAAGCTACCAGAGGACCAAATGGTTGGTGGACTCTACCAGACGCCAGACTCTTGGTCCCAGAGGCTCTAGGTCAGACTTTAGTTGCCCAGTTACACCAGGCTACCCACATAGGTGTCACCAAGACTTCTGAACTTTTGTGAGGCAGGTCATAGGTAAATGCTAAGCAAGGTAAGAGGGTCCCCTGGGAATTCAGGCCCAGGGAAACTCCCCAGGAAAGCATTCAGAGGTGGATTTCACAGAGATTAAGTCACTGGCATCAGGGTATGAGTACCTGCTAGTTTTTTATGGACTCTTTCTCAGGATGGGTTTAAGTCTATGCCACCAGGACAGAAACTGCCTATACCTAGATTTGGGCTATCAGCAGTTATAGGATCAGATAACAGCCCTGCTTAGTAGTCAAGGTATCTTAAAGTATAGCTAAAGTCTTAGGCATAAATTGGAAACTCCACTGTGCATACCGGCCACAAATTCAGGGCAGGTATGAACAGGACTCTAAAAGGACTTTAACTAAATTTATCCCAGAAACCGGTGAAAACTGGACCAACCTCCTGCCTTTGCCTACTTACAGGCCAGGTGTACCCCCAACTGGGAAGTGTTCTCTCCTTTTGAAATCATGTTTGATAAACCTCCCCCTATCCTACCCAAAGTTAGGGGAGGAATTAAAAGCTAAAAGATCATAACCATTCCTTGCTCAAGTCCTTGCAGGCTCTGCAGTATACTGAGAGAGCCACCCATAAGCTTGTGCGAGATGCCTTGCCCGTTCCACCTCGGACCCTGTACATCCTTTCCAGCCTGGGGACTCGGTGTGGGTAAAGAAGTTCATGACCCAAGGACTCACCCCAACTTGGAAGGGCCCCTA